ACTCCCTGTAATACCGAATTAGAACGCAGCTCTTGAGGAGGAGGAGGGATGGTACTGGGGGGGTGAAATGACCTGGGGGGGTCACGTGACCTTGGGGGTCACGTGACGATGCCGATGATGTCATCTGTGACGTCACTGATGACGTCATCAGTGACGATGACGATGCGGACTCCGATGACGTCATCAGCGATGATGACGATGACGATGCGGATGTCGGTGACGTCATCAGTGACGTCACTGATGACGTCATTCGTGATGATGACGATGAAGATGCAGATGCCCGTGACGTCACTGATGACGATGCGGATGCCGATGACGTCATCAGTGACGATGGCGTCATCGGGGAGGTCACATGACCTCGGGGGCTGTCAGGTGACTTCGGGGGGCGGGGGGGGTCACGTGACTTTGGGTGTCACGTGACCTTGGGGGTCACGTGACCCTGAAGGAGGGGTCACGTCACCTCTGGGGGTCACGTGACCTTGGGGTGACCTTGGTTACGCCGACGGCGACGCCGACGCCGCTCAAGCCGGGAACGGGCCCCTAAGAGCTGCGCTCTAAAAATCGTTTCAGGGCCCTTTTAACGTTGAATACCCCCAAGCAGCTATAGGGGCATTACACTGCGCAACTGCAGACGGATGCCTCTTTACACGAAACCCCTGACTTCTCGGGGGACCGAAAACGACGGGTCCAGCCTCGTCTTGAGGCAGAAAACATTCTGCCGTAGTAAACTACGTGCGGCAAATTTGCCTGGTAAAGTAGTTCCGGTAGACCCCTTCAAAGATTACGCCCTCCTACGGCGCATCTAAAAATACTTCAAAGTAGCGTGCGCAGAAAACCAAACACAAGCTGGCAAGTCTATAACTGATATGATATTCTATAGATACTTTACACAATTGATAGACTGGCCATTCTTATGGCGTCCTTTGCGCACGCCACACTGAAGTACTTTCAGAACGACTTTGAAATGACCCAATTTTAAGGGGTTTATACTGGGATTGAAGCGCTCATCGTGAAAAGGTAAAAGAGAACGAAATGAAATTATGAAAGAAAAATAATGGCCTGCCTTTAACTTGGGGACGTGGGAGCGGCGAACGGCGGCGAAACCTCTGAACAGAAACCGTCTTGTTGGAGCGGCGACTTACGCTTCACTGACTCACAGTCTGCCAACTCTGAAGGAGGGGCGCATTTTATCCGGAAGCAAATTTGTACACCGATATGGGAGTAATCTTTATTCCTCGTCACAGGTACATTCGCGGAAAGAGCAAACAATCGGTTTGGACGCCCCTAAACTGAATGCAATAACTTGGGACTGATACGAAGGGATTGCCGATAAACCGGAGCGCTATCACAGAAGCGGTTGCGAGGATAAGGTTGGGGCACCGTAAGAACAGGCGAGGATGTCGGGAGGTGAACGATCGTAGGCTCCGCGGTCAATCGATCGAGAATTGCGGAGTCATTTTAGAAATGATTAACGCTTATGACGTCAGCTCTCACGGCGTATTCACACTGCTGGTTGAACCGGATCCGCAAAGATTCTGCGAACGCGAGTGGCCAAAATGCGGCGTAACCAAAATAACAGAAACGACACCAGAACATCGAAACAACCGCGACCCAGTATTGTTCCGCGAAGCTACACCTTGCATTGCTTTCCGCGTAATGTACGGTGAACACTTGTCCCGGTGACCTTGATGCTGGTGTCGTTTTGGAAAAATGTAAAAAGCTCTTTTTGTAGAAAATTTTATTGGAGATTAGTGCAGAATGATAAGAGCGTGATATTTTAAGAAAATGGTTTAGCGGCACAATTAATAGTTATTTCATACAACCATGCCTCACCGCTGATTTCAGGTAGCGGGTCACCACCTGGACGCGACCTAACTTCAGTGTAACTCGCGACGCGTCCGCTTGGGAGACGGCTTTGGCAGGCTGTAAACGTTTCGGCGCCAAAGCCAATGGCCCATCAAAACTAAAATTGAACGGTAACAGCGGACGTTACTGAAGCCGATGATTTGGCAACGTATACAGTGACCAATGACGACGACCGGCAGCAAGAAAACGGTGGCTGGAACCAGGCATATCCTCGTCCACGCCGTTTATGTCCCTTTGTAGTCCTGATCCCTTCGAATCAGACTTTGAACCGTACCTATCACCGTGTTCCGCTTCTGTTGAGAGCGGTAGTATCAGGGCTAGGCCCCTTGCGAAAAGGCACCCTTCGCGTTTCTTCCAAGAACCGACAATCATTGCTCTAGGAAGGCGCAAGACACTTGCCACGAACAAGTGCTGTGCCGTTATTCGATTCAAGTACAGTGAACTGAAACTAGAAGTTAGAGGGAAAAAAAGAGAGTCGGTGCCGTGCGAACCTACCTCGCCTGCGAACGTAGCCTGCGAACGTAGCGTCCGTAGTGTGAACAAACCTTTGAGGGACAATAATTACAAATGGTGAGACGACGACGGCGGTTGTGACTTGTGACGCAGGAGATGGCGGGGAAGGCCGGCCGTGCTCCCATGGGGAGCGCCCCGGCCGTGGACACCACTGAGCGGCAAGATGGAACGTTGCTGACGTTACCGGTCACGCTCACTCGGAGAACTTGCTCAGGTACGAGTTCGACCAAGGTCGACTTTTTCGACCTTTCAAGGTAATGTTCGACGAAGGTTCGACTGAAGTTAAACGTTTGTCCGCATGCGCAAAAAACAACAAAAAAAAACTTGTTCATTTTACTTGGCGGAGGAAACGTGCAATGTTTGTTGGGTGTATTGACATCACTGGTTCACATTACTAACTAACGAAAGCATTGAAAACTCATATTTTGGCTTTTATACGGTGTACACATTGGTAGCCCCCCCCCCCCCCCCCCCCCCCCCATTTTATGAAATATAAAATACGCTACTTTCTAAATTCGTTGTTTTCAAAAATTTGAAGTAGTAGAGTAGAAGTCGGTCAACACTGGACACAAGTCGAAAACCTTAGAACTTTAGTGAAAGGTCGAAAACTCGGCGAACCAGTCGAACCTTAATGTTCGACATCAAAATCGAGGTTCGACAAAGGTTCACGACATCCGTAGTAAAAACAAACAAAAAGTGACAATGGTGATGATGTTTAGCTCAATGTTGGCTACGCCCACGCCGTAGGCTTGATTGCGCTGTTGGTTGCGCCTCAATTTGCCCGCTCGAGTCAGCCGATTTCGGCAACTTGGCGCGATGCAAAGTTTGCCGGACCGTTTAAAAAACATTTAGAAAGAATTATAGGTCGTAATATTTGTCGTGTGGGCTTCCTAGGGGATGCTGAAGAGGACTGCATTGTTTGTTTTTTCCAAAAAAAAAAAAAAAAAATGAAGCAGTTTCCCTTTAATGCTAAAATTGCAAACTGTAACTATACGTACTTTCCATCATATTTCTATACTGTTCAGTCCTTTCCCCAGAGCTCACTCGCTCTCGGAGTTGAGACAACAGGACGTCGAAGAGCACAGTCACATTGGCCACTGTACGATAGAAGCTACGGTTTAGACCAGAGTTCCAACATGACTGTCCGCAGGTCGATCGATTGCACCATAATCCCTCATGCAGTCTTAAACTCTTTAATGTAAGGCGCAATGTCAACCTGCGACACCCCGCCCCCCTCCGATCACGGCCCGACCAGCGGCCTCAATGCCCGTCAGTTTACGTCATCTCATCTTGTTGTTACACCAGTGATACGCGAATACACGGTCACATCGGCTATAATTCCAGTCTTCTGTTCACAACGCACAACACTGCCATCGCGATGTTGCTGCTATGTTGCCGACACGGAGAAATACAGAAACACCTTTGATTGCCAGTTGGCACTCGGCACGAGAAAACAGAACCGAGCTCAGAGAGAAGACACGCAGGCATCCGGCAGCAAAACTTGCCTGTCTTGGACGAAGTTCCTGTGATTTGCATAACGTTGTCAACGTCGACACGCCGCTCCGCAATTCGGAGGCATCCATCTTAGCCCGCTGTACGTAGCGCTGCTGGCACTGCTCCGGAACTTCGCCGTTTTTAACTGCTTCGTTTGCACGTGAGCGACCACTATACGCTTACGAACGAAAGCAACCGGCTGGAACGACGAGTTACCATAGTAACGAAGCGCCAAACGGTCGTTTCGTTCGTGTTCGTTCGCAACGCAAGGAGTTGAGACGGGCTGAAATTTTTCGTTACGTTCGGGAACGACCGCAACAACAGACCAATCACAGGTCGGGGAGGGCTCGGTCGCGCGCGTTGCATGCCGGTCGTGCCGGCCTCCTATCTGCAAACATGGCGTCGCTGGTGATCGTCGATGTGGACGGCGTGGTGGAAGCTCATCGTCCTGCGTAAAAGCGCTATCCTTGACTGTGACTTTTCGGCGTGTGTCGTTATGATAACCCAGCACGTACTAGAAGGGAAGATCCACCTACTCGTGCGGCGATCTCGTCGTGGCACTCTCAAGACAGCAGAAACGCCCGGGCCGTCGTGTTTGTTTACTGCGACTACAGTGGTGCTTTCTTAGCATTTGTGTCCTCGAACATCACCCGGACTTCTTTTTTGGCGCATTTCATGCGTGTGCTCAAGTTCAAGGTATTGCTTGTGCGTACCGTATAAAGGATGCGAATTTTCACGAGTTTTCATCTCCCGAGAAATGATTAGTGTTAGCAATCCTGAACGTTCGCAACGTCTCGCTCGCAACGTCTATCTGATAACGAAATTATATTTCTACGTTGCTATATCGCTGCTGAGATTACATCGTCTTTTATAATCGTAGAAAAGGCGTGTGGCGAGTACGTGGCAAAGTCGTGTATTAAAGTCGCGATCCTGCAAGACGGCGTACTGCATTTTGTTTTTCTTTTTTTTAATGCACTACCCTGCAAGCGTATCCTAAAAAA